TCTTCTTTGTATGTAGCGTTTATCCCATATGTTGTTTGATTTCTGAGCTTTCCTTCGAATTCTTTGTCTTCTCTTGCAAACTCTTTCATAGTCAGTATTTTGTGGTTCCGTGCTAACGCTTTTTGGATTGGATTCCGTATGACATTGCCCTCCCGTTACCCTTTGAGATACTGCATTTGAGGATCGTCCGTAGAATACTTCAAAGGGGGAATGATTTTCAAGAGCTTCCATGGGCTCTTCATTAAGAAGCTTTTGATAGCTGGGCAGTCGCGCAGCCCAATTTACGCCCATGTTCTTTGAGAAGTTATTGAGATCGAAAGTAATCTTTTTATGCAAGCTTCGGTGTGAGCGCTCCACCTTTCCTTGTGTTTGGGGATGGTAGGGTGCTCCTCTGATGATTTTAACCGATAATAATCGACAAAGTTTTTCGACTGCTTTTTTAAACTCTCCGCCGTTATCTGATTGCAAAATGCGTGGTGGCCCTACTTCATTGTACAGATTTCTCAGTTCTCTCGCAACGTGGACGCTTTGTTTTCTTTCGAGAGGTCTTAGCCATAGATATCTGCTGAAGACATCTTGTATTGTTAGAATGTATCTGTATGTCTTCCCTTTTAATGTAACAGCATTCTTAGTCATATCTACGAGGTCAATCTGGTGACGCACCTGCGAAAGAAATCACATTCAAAGTATTTTGCCATTTCATTATAAATTCCAAAAATGGTGAAGTGTGACCACCTGGAATGTAAATTCATTCATAGAACAAGTCATGAAAATACAGCCATCTCGTTAATACGGACAATTTGGAATGTTCAGTTGGTGGTCGGATTATACTGGGTTTCAAGTGTAGACTGCTGTCAATTAACTTGTACTTAAAAAGTATAGCTCGGCGCCAACAGCCGGTTTGTTTAAACATTTTGATTGACGGCAGTCTATCGCTAATGACATGTGAATTGTAGGCTTGTAGGCTTGTAGCAAGTAGATGTTCTACAGTAAAACTATTATATGCGAGATAAATTAATACGTTCTAACTGTCTATGAAAGTCTAGCTTGTCTTTCAGTGTGAAAATGCATCGAATTAGCAAAATAAAAAGAACATTTCTCTTATGTAAGATAAAGAATATAATAGGGTTTAGAATATATGATGTCAGAATATATTGTGGTTTTTATATTCAGTTCGGTCTCTTACCTGAACTGCACTGGCACGAATTGGTCTAATAATAACTTTGTTATTAAATCTAGCATTTGACTGTTGATGGAGCTTGCTTTTAGATAATATTTTATTGACGTAAGGTTCACTGATTCCACGATATCTCTTTTTTAGTTTGTTCTTGAGTTTTCTCGATCCCATACTCTTTGAATGCTTGAATTCCTTCATGACCACCTTTTGAATCTCTGATTTTTTAAGGACTACTTTTCTATCGAAGAAAAGCTTTCTAGCCCCATTCACCAGCTTTACAGTGTACCGACCTTTGTTCCTCCAAAACCGGACTAACGTGGACTTTTGCAGTGCCGTTCTTTGGCTAACAGGGACATGGAAAGTACCACGACATAGTTTAACAAGTATGTCGTATACTTCATCATCAAGAGCAGAAATCTGTCGATTTCTTTGACCGACTTTAGAATTTCCCTTTTCTCCTTTTGTAATAAAGACACTTTGTGATAGACACTTCGTTTTTAATCAACAAGAACTCAACATCGCGCCACATCCAAAACCATGTGCCACGCTACTTTTCACACACCGACTTGCGCATGCGCGCCTATCACTACACTTTAGCGACAAAAAGTATAATATGAAGGGTAACAATCATGAGGACTTTCATTTTTGACCGGTATTTTTTCGTAACGATGTAACCAAACATGTAGATCTTCCCTCAGGAAAAAATGTACTGGCAATTAATTGTTGTCAAGTTATGACAGGTTTGCTGCGCGACCACGTCTGTAACGATGGCTAGGACTCGGGAAAGGAGATGAAAGGAACGAAAAAAAATCCCAACATATTCGCCTTTTAAAATTATGGCGCAAAGGCCAGACGAACCGAGAGAAGAACATTCGAAAGTAATCGCCTCGTCTTTCCTTGGTGCGTTTCACATTATAGCTGAGGAACACTGATAAGAGAAAATGGTTTGCCATCGAGTCCATTTTTTATGGACCGACTGACGCATGGTTCCTGCCTTTAAGCAGATTGTCGGATTGTTAAAATGATGGGAACTAGCGGCAAACTAGTGTGAGCTGCGCCGGTGTTTCTAAAGAAACAGTTATGTAAAAAGACAAATTTAAAATAACTTACTGACGTTTCGGACGTTAATTGTTAGTCCTTCCTTGAACAAAGCCAATTATCAGATTGTGAGAAATTCATGGCTCGAAGTGAAGCATTCCATCTGTATTTCTGAACCCTTAAAAGTGTGTAACCCTGCCCCGACTGCGTTAACAGCGGACCAGCAGATGCAACTGGAAGTGGAGGTAGTTCAAAAAACCTGGAGGAACTTAGTCTCACTTAGACAATAGTCTACCCAAGGATTTCCCGCTCAGTCCCTCCTTACCAGGAGGCGTCAAATGTGGTAGGCGGCTTCTCGAATCCTAAAACGTCTGGAGGATATATAAATCTCAGATCGGTTTGACAGTGTGCCAGCAGAGGAACGTAAAGATCGTGTTAGCCAAGAATTATGTCTGCCAACTTGGCCTACAAAACCTAAGTATAGCCAGTCGAGCAAAATACATTCTGGCTGTACCTGCAGCTTTTTAATTCTATTTCCTTCTGAGCAGTCTTTCGTCTAGATATAATCGTGGATCTAGCCCGGGGGGGCGGGATCTAGCCCAATGGGTGGGGTAGTACTACCTCCCCAACTTGGGTGGTGATGTGCCGCACGACTCTCAAAACCCTTACCCTATCCCAGACCAATTTCTTGATTTTACATACCCTACCCCAGACTAAAGGTACATTATTTTAGCGCTGAAAGTGTGGCCTAGCAGATACGATCACAAGGAAAACGCCACCTTACCCATGACAATGAGACTATACCCTATCCTAGCCAAAAAACTACCCTATCCCAGACAAAAGTACTACCCTAACCCAGACAAATGGGTAAAAAAATTATACCCTATCCCAGACTTGGAGCTGCGAAAGAGCTGCGGCACATACCCGTATAGCTGATATAGGGGAGTACCCCCCCGGGGGTTCTAGAACCTCAGCTCATAAGCCTATACGAGGCCTGTATGAGACCTCTATACTGACACTATAGTATACTATACTATACCTCATCTTATTAAAACATGCATTAACCAAGTAACCTTTTTAAGACAGGATTCATTTTAAAATGAAACATTGCTCAACCTCTGGCCAAGGTAGCCTGACAAGGCACTCATACCCCATAATCCATGAACCGACTAAAATTCTTCTGTAATTAACATTCTTGGTCACACATAGCTACATCTATGGTCAAGGGGGTATGACCTCAAGAATACTCATTTTGCATTGTCATGGACTTAATTAAATAGTCCGGAAAAAGTTAATTGTTCCAAATTTAATAGCACTGAAGTATAGAACAATTATAGTCCATTGCCATGTCATACCGTGGGAGACTGGGTACAGGTCCCTTAATTCGCACGATGGTGACGATATAGAACGAAAGACCGTATTGAGAAATACTAACTGTCCGAATTTGGCGTCGATCAAGTCAATATATTAAACGATTTACAGCCTTTCAAAAACGCTAGAATTTCCGAAGAAATGTATTGAATGCCTGACGCTGCGTCCGGATTTTTCTAAATCCACATACATTTCTTTTGTAAAATCTAGAATTTGTGAAAAGCTGCCAATCGTTTACATATGATCCGATTAACACCAACTTTGTGAGTTTCTTATTTACTGTGCGATCTTTCGTTCTATATATAAAATCTAATCTCACCATCGTGCGAATTAAGGGACTTGTACCCATTTTAAAATTATGTATACAACGAAGCCTGAACCGATAATATAACAAGTTGCGACTGTTTACCCTCACTCTTCACACTATGACGTCACGATATATGTACAGCGTATAACGAGATAGATAGATAGATAGTGATTTAGAGGTGCATAATAGTCAAAAAGGTTTGACAGAAAAGTTATTACATTTATGGTTAAATGTTATTACATTTATGGTTGGTCTCGATTATTACATATATGGTTGAGAGTTATTACATTTATGGTGGGGTCGGTTATTACATTAATGGTTGACTGTTATTACATTTGTGGTGGGTATTACATTAATGGTTGACTGTTATTACATTTATGGTGGGTATTACATTTATGGTCGATTATTACATTTATGGGTGATACAGAAGCGATCCAGCACTGAGCGCTTAACATTAATGTTTTTAGAATTGTTATCGTAGTTGTTTCAATGCATTTTCAGTTCAAGTCATTATTTGATATGAACGATTTTGAGTAAACTCTAAGAACGAGTAAATCCAGCCTCTGGTTCCCAGTCTTCCCAGGGTAGACTTTTAGTTGTTGAGTTAATGATCTTTTCATATTCGGCCAGAGATTTCATTTGATTGGTGACGTCACATGATGACCGGCATATACTGTTCAACTTAGACTGCGTGGCGGCTCTTGGGGAGATGTTTAAGTAGCGTATAAATCAGGAACTTGGAAAATTTTTGCATATAAAAATACATATGCGAATATTTCGAGTTCCAGAAAGTTTTCCTTTTAATTAAATGGTCTGAAAATCACTGAAATAAATATCAAAGAGTTAGTGAGAAATCTGCAATTTAAATTTTTAAAATAGCTATTTTAGTTTTTACATGAACTCGGTATAAAGTTTGGCTATTTTGAGAGCCATTTTAACGTGACGTCAGCAACGGATGGGTTGTGCCAGTTTTGCAGTGCGGCGACATCTTCGATCACAACACAACTGGTGATTGCACACAAAATAATCCAAAAAAGAAAATAATTTTGAGCAAATGGCAGACTGGGTTTACAACATTTACTTCGAAATCTTCAATTTGTTTCTGCTTGCTATAATTTTGCACTTTTTTGCCAAGTTTATTCACGAGATGGGAGATCCTGGAATGAAAGATGAACGAATTGGACTGGCCGTAGAGCAAACGGAAAGTTCTGATCAGTGTCTATGTAGGTAAGAAATATTTTATAATACATGAATTATTGTGCTATTTTAATGATAAAGTTGGATTTGTTAACTTTTATTCTTGCGAAAACTAAGTAATTTTTCTTTGGTTCAAGATTGTGAAGAAAATGGTCCCTCCAACTAATTAAGCTTATTTGAAAATTATTAGTTTGTATATTTTAGTGTTTTTGTCAAAGCTTCATCGATTAAAAGTAAATGTTCCATGTTTCTTACATTGATGGCACTACTTATGATCTCTAAGTAGGGGAGGGGTGGGAATGGATATACACAGGCTAATTTATTCATACCGTTTCACTTACTCTCTGATTTAAAAATCATCAAATTACATCACCAAATTATATTATKTCAATTTATTATAGCACGTGTACAAGACTYCATTACGAAGAATGATGGACCASWGTRKMRCRCRMAWMTMTRYSYCYTMWAACAAGCTGAACATTTTCTAATWTCAAAAGACAGACTATTTTTAGTGTAACACTAGTGACTTAATTAGATGTAAATGAAGCGTAGTGTTTATAGACTATCCCACAGGGGGTGTCAAAGTATTTGCGAGGTTCGCGGTTCGAGCCCTCATGAAGCCGTAAATTTTTTCTACTTCATTTCTTGAGACTTTTCAAGACTTTCTTTTTCTTTTCTTTTTTCTTTAATTAGTATAAACAGTTTTATGAATAAAGATTGATTTTTAAAGCCATTTTTATATTTTTCCCCCCTCGTACATAAAAATAGACAAGCTCGAACCGCGAAAAATATAAAAATGGCTTTAAAAATCAATCTTTATTCATAAAACTGTTTATACTAATTAAAGAAAAAAGAAAAGAAAAAGAAAGTCTTGAAAAGTCTCAAGAAATGAAGTAGAAAAAATTTACGGCTTCATGAGGGCTCGAACCGCGAACCTCGCAATTAATACTTTGACACCGCCGTGAAAGCAACACAACCGTTGAGCCTGGGCCCCCTGTGACTATCCGTCAGCGACAATGCAAGACATGGCATGAAGTCACATGGACACTTGTATTCGCCAATTAAACCAATCATGTATTTTGTAGAGCACTTAAACAAAACTTATTTGTAACACAAGAGTCAATGTCAATTTCATTTACCGAAATGCTTTGGTTAAACGCATTAAAAAAATACTTTAAAAAAAAAACTCTTCAGTGAAAGTTGGTTATCGATGACGGGATGTACTGAGTACATTTGTTTGCGTCCAGTGTCTATTCTACGCTCAATTCCTTATTGCTAGTATAAGTCAATTTAAGCTGACTGAACCTCTCGTCGTGAAGAACAAACTGCCTGAATGATCGCCGTGACTAAGCTGACTGAACCTCTCGTCGTGAAGAACAAACAGCCTGAATGATCGCCTTGACTTGACTAACTTTAGATAACGTTGTGATGTTGATACTCTAACGTGATTTGAAATTATATCTTACCTTGGAAAACTAACTATATATTTATAAATATTGGCGTGATCGTAAAGGTTGAGACGTGCGTAATGGCGGCGTAAGGAACCCGGAAGTTAAGGTGCTCTGGCAGTTTTGCCAGCGTTTGCAGTGGAAAGCTTGAACTTAGCTGGGTTGAGTTCCAATTACTCGTCTTTCAGATTTGTCTATCGCTGATTGCTGGATTGGAGGGCTAGTGTTACGCGTAGTTTTCTTTGTTGGTGAGGTTTTAGAGACGTATTTGAACCATACTGTTTACTGGTATGGCACAGTCCTGTCCTTTGACGACTGCCACAGGGATCCCGGAATGAAAACAAATGTGAAAAACTGGTAGTGATGTAAAAGCAGTTTTGGTTCGGCTGTACGCGGGCTGCGAACGAAGCACTTGTTATGGAAAAAATCCTCGACATTCCCTCCTGAGTCCTCCCTTTCTATACTTCACGTTACCGATGACCGAGTAAAAGGCGGGAGGTTGCTTTTTCCATGTTGCTGTTATTGTCGCCGTCGTCGTCGTCGTTATTGTGTTCGTTGTTGTTTTGTTGATTTGCTTTTTGTGGTTTGTTTTTCTTTTCAGCTCACATACAACTCTCTGGCAAGGATAATAATTTTGATGTCTGAATCAGTGTTTAATGGTTATCCCGATCTATTTATGAAGGCGAAAATACACTTTTGAATGAAAAGTTCAAAAAATACAAATCTGTATGATTTTCGATTCTTAATTTCGCGCCGTTTAAGCTGATGACGTCACATCTTTTCTAAAATTAGAAACTTTGAGGAAAACAATCTCCTTTGAGGTTTTTTAAAACGGTTCACAAACTGAATTATTGCTTATTAATATCAATTATTAATTAATTTATTATTTTACTATTGATTTTTAATTTATTTATATTTTTTGTTGGGATGGGGGGAGAGGGGGAGGTGAAGATTTTGCATAAAAAAGAAATGAAATGTATATCTGTATCGATTAGTTATATGCATCGACTCGTATATTTGCAAATCAGCAATCTCTTCACCAGGAAGACGGAAACCATCGCATTTCTAGTAAATACCCTTAAATACATTGTTATTATTGTTTACAATGTTTTCATCTGTGTAGTTCTAGTCCAAGCCGAGTGCGAAGGGAAATTTCCCTAAATTTAAATACGCTAAAATTAACCTCCACTCTAACCGGAAGATGACATCATCGTAAACTAAGGTCACATGATTATATTGACCAATCAACGTGCTTAGATTTTAGGGGAAGTCCCGGGGTAACAACCCTTCTAGTATTCGATGCTCGATGATAAAGTTAGTTTCTCTTTCCTATAACGGGAAGTGTGGAGCTGAATTTAAAAGATCGTGTTGTGAATTTGGCTTAGAAAGARTCACTAACAACCAGAGCAAGGTGAGTTGAAGTGCTGAGGCAGTTTTAKAGCGATTTTCGGTGCTATTTTCTCGTCAAACATGCAMAAGTTCTTGGAATTTGTRAATCATGTCTGTTTTGTTCCGTGTGTTTGGTTCGTTTTCAAGTTTAGACAATAATTTCTAAGTATCGAAAGTGATTTTTGGACGTTTTCATTGTTGTTTTAACTAAAGGAGAGCATAATTATTTCTTGAAAGCCAATTCTGAACTGAGCCTTGAGCTATGTTTGTGTGACCTAACTTATATTTTTCTTTCAAGTTTGCCTTGATGCAAGCAATTTTGACCGCAATTTTTAAACTAGTTTAGGATGCTTTGCACTCAAGTACGTTTTACAACTGTTTCATAAAGTATACAGAAATTGCTGTTTAGTTTACATACTTAAAAGACTTTGTCATTAGCTGGTTAAAACTTAAGTTCTGCATTCTAGAAAACCTTTTAGCTAAGGCTGAATAATGGAGTATAAACAAGTGAAAGTCAAAACATCACAGTTCTGTTTTACTAGCTTAATTGAATTGTTTTATTTGCTGTAATAAGACTTCACACTTAAACGCATATATTGATTCAAAAATTGAATTCCAACACAGTATTTCATTWATCAATATCTTTAGATATTGAATTGTTTTGTTTATCCATTTGAGTATTACACCTTGCAGTCCATTTATTTGTTATTTTTAAGCTAATTTAATATAACTTAGAACACAAGGTTGAATATTCATAGCTTCATTGAGATGTACACAGTGAAATGGACTAAAGTTGAACTCCGCGAGAGTAGAGTTAAGATCCGCCAAAGTGTAGGACCAATTTCGAATTGAGAGAATTAAAAAAAAAACTTTTGACTTGTTTTGACCTTTTCCCTCTAAAAACATGTGGTCTATCACAATTAGACCAAAGTTCAACAGTCAAATCAGAGTATTGGATTAATGAAAGTCCAAATTAGATCAGTCAAGTAGCACCCCTCAAAAACTTTTTAGTGTTGCACTTCTTCTATTGTTGGAACATGGTGAAACTTTCCTTACTTGTCCTTGTAATATTTTCAGAATAATAATTATACTTTATATAAAGTTCATGGTGAAGAAACATGACRCATTCAGAACAGCAAGTCGGAGGCACCTTAACGGACAGCATGCTCCATGAAATCATGACTCCAGGTTTTTTGCCTGATATTTCRTCTCTAAACGTCCAAATGGAGATGGGATACGAAGGTATGTAAGACCGTTTGAGGCTTAACACTTAAAGTGAAGTGAGCACAAACAGAAAAGGAAGGAAGATCTTCAGGAAGCACAGATGAAGCACATAAATGAGTAGCCGTAACAACATACAATCAATCAACCAATTTTATTATATTGGTATATCAGAGTCCGTACAAATCCTGAAAAACCTGTAATGTCGTGGAATTTTGTTGAGCGAAAACAAAGGCATTAACTTTTCTGGTCATATATATCTGTAATATTCTGTTATAATGATATAATCCAATCATTTTTTCATGTGTTTGTTGTTGTGTTTCTTTACAATAGGTCCTTACTTAGAAATACTTGAACAACCAAAATCAGTAAGTAGAAGACAAACCAAACATATTATGATTAAGTTTGAATACTAAACAGGATATCGTATTTATTTGTTTATCTATCTATTTCTTTGTTTATTGATTTCTTTTTTATCTATTTTTTCATTTCTTCATTTTTTTCTTCATTCATTTATTTATTTAATTATTTACTTATTTATTTATTTATTTATTCATTCATTCATTCATTTTTTTCTTCATTTATTTACTTATTTATTTATTTATTCATTCATTCATTTTTTTCTTCATTTATTTATGTATTTATTTATTTATTTATTCATTCATTCATTTTTTTCTTCATTTATTTATTTATTTATTTACTTATTTATTTATTTATTTATTCATTCATTCATTTTTTTCTTCATTTATTTATTTACTTATTTATTTATTTATTCATTCATTCATTCATTTTTTTCGTCATTTATTCATTTATTCATTTTATTTTTTCAGCGTGGCTTTCGGTTCCGTTATCCATGTGAAGGACCATCCCATGGGGGTCTCCCTGGAGAGTTTTCGGACAGCAAAAACAAGTCATATCCATCAGTACAGGTAATTAGCATAATGTTCACTGGGTTCCCTGTGCATCGAGCAGGCCTAGTACTTAGTGTGTCAGACTCCATATTATCAGAGCAAAGTCTAGCTTGTACACAGCAATAGCTTCCATTTTTACCACATCTTAAAATTTGATGAAACCAGAATCATGGCTGTGGAATAGACTTTAGTCAAACTTGGGCATAATTGCAAACTGGGCAATCTAGTTGTGCCTCGAGTGGTATTTTTATAATCTTTCAATTAATCGTATGAGGAAGTAGCTGATCCCATTAAAGAGTGCTCAATACACATAAAGTGTAGAGCTAGTTATATATGATATCCAAGAGGCAAGATTTTGCTGTTACTCCGAGTTTCAATTAAGCAGCTTGCAGTTTAATTTCAAATTTCCTTCCCACTGTAGGTAGTTAGCGCATGTTTTCAACAAGTTGTCCATTACTTGCGAATTCAACTAATCCTTCACTTTCTTTTATTATCAGGTATGTAATTATCAAGGTCCATGCCGTATCGTTGTYTCCTTGGTAACAGAGGATGAACCACACATGCCCCATGCGCATAGTCTGACTGGCAAGCATGCAAACAATGATGGCATTGTGACTGTGCARATTGGTACGGAACAGGGCATGACAGCAAGGTGAGATCTGATTGACATTGCAATAATTGCAATATGACAGATATATTATTATTTTTATTATTATTATTATTTTTCTATTTATTTATTTTTTATTGCTTAAAAGCAATAAACGATAGCTTGAAGCAGTTTACTGGCCAAATAAATGGCATGTGATGGCTACGAGAACACAAGAAAAGATCTGTAAATCCCAAGCCTTCAGTCGAGTGATTTACCTTTTTGAGTGTTCTCCCAACCATCCCAAGGGGTTTATTTTTGCCAGTAAACCGCTTCAAGCTATCGTTTATTGCTTTTGTATTTTAGCCGGCATCTGCCGTTTCAACTCAAAAGTCTTTCAAGGTCCAGCAGGCTGGTTTACTGGTGAAATAAACCATAGATTTTCTCATTAAATCTGCTAATCAGCGGGCATGTTAGAGCTCTAATATAAACAATGATATCCCCAATATATTGAAACATGCTTGTGGTCAGAAGTTTTGCAGTCTTTAAGAAAAATAAATGGATTTTGTTTTTGCATTCTTTAGCTTCCCAAATCTTGGAATCCAACATGTGACTAAAAAGAAAGTTGCTAAAACTTTAACTGAACGATACACAAAAATGCAAGCTCTWCAAAATGCAACATTGACAGCCCTTGCCACAAATAATAGCACACCAAGTTCTTTCATGAACTTTGGATCTGTCGCACGCGAACAAGTAATGGCAAGTCAAGGACCATTTGATCGGAATTTGGCTGCAGCTGTTGCAGGTGATAATCCATTTTTATTGACTTGAGTATTGACCAAGTTACTAAGGGACTTTTTTGGCTGTTATTGTACAATCAAAGCACAAAATGATCATTCTCCTGAGGATGTTCAACAGCAGTTTTGGTGGAGACATGTTGATCTATGTTTCTACATGGTTCTTTTTGAATAATTTTGATAAAGATGTTATTTTTGCACACATCTCCCACAAAAAATAACAGTCTTTTAAGACAAGCTGTTTGAAAGCTCAGCTCATAGCTGTAATAAACTTTTAAGCCAGAAACATCCTTTCATGAACATTTGTAAGTCTCCTCACACTCATGGTTTTTTTTGGTCACATGGTCACATCTCGCAAGACACTCCAAGAAAAGGACATGTGACACCTAACTGAACTTAACTTGGCTGTAAGGAGACTCGGCACATGTGTATGAATTATTAGAGCAGATTTCGTATGACTGTGCAAAAGCACGGATCACAACGCAGACACGGTCACGGAACGTCGTTTTCTAGGATTTCAAATGAAAGAAGATTTTCCAATTCATCATGACTACGGCACGGTATGGACACCGCACAAACATACCATGTTTTTTTTGCACAGTCATACGAAATCCGCTCTATGAATTTTTACTGTAAACTAATAATATTAACCAAACAAACTCTTCTTTTTCAGGAGAGGAAACTAAAAAGATTTTAAAGCTAGTGCAGGAGCAATCCAAAACCATGAATCTCAGTGCTGTTAGGCTGTGTTTTCAAGCCTACTTACCAGATGAAAATGGGAACTTCACCAAACCACTCAAACCCTGCATTTCAAATCCTGTTTATGACTCCAGTAAGAAAATAGTTTTTAGTCTTCTGTACTTGACTTGCAAAATTCCTTTTATTATTTTTGTTTTGTTAACACTCCAACATTTTTTCCTTCCTTCCTTCCTTCCTTCCTTCCTTCCTTCCTTCCTTCCTTCCTTCCTTCCTTCCTTCCTTCCTCGTCTTTCCCTTCTTTCCTTTCTTGTTGGTAAATTTCTCTTTCATTTCTTCCTTGCGTCCATTCAGTCCTTTAACTCAATAATTTTTATCATAATTATCCAGAGGCYCCAGCATCCTGCCAGCTAAAAATCTGTCGTATGGACAAGAACTCGGGCTGTGTAACWGGAGGRGATGAAATATATCTTCTTTGTGACAGAGTACAGAAAGGTACTGCAAAGAATTCAATTAATGACTCAAAATGAGGCATGTATCGAAACAGCTAATTCTGTTGATATACTGTCAAGTTTCAAATACTTTATACTGATTATATCTCCTCAAAAATCCTTGTTTGTAGGCATTGAGTCATTAAAAAACTCCAAACATTAAAAACTTTCCCCATATGAAAAATGCAAAATGCACTAAAGATTATCAATTTGATTAATTATTTGTTATTAATTATTTTTCAGATGATATAGAAATCCGTTTTTATGAAAACAATGACGATGGAAAGCCRATATGGGAAGACACTGGAAAGTTTGCTCCAGCTGACGTTCACAGACAGGTAGCTAGCTACATGCAGACAAATAAGTYRTAAAGATTGCATTCTTTTAACTAATATCAGTAGGTCTTGCACCTATATGTACTTACAAAAACTTTATCCAATGAAAAAGAACTTTTTGCTATTTAGGATTATTAATAATTGAAATACAAAGGAAAGTCTTCTTTCCATAACCTTCTGTCTTTTATGTGTTCCTAAATTCCTACATGCCTGCCTCAGGGCTAGCTTTTTACAATAGCTGATTTGCTAATTTCGCCTTACATTAGTCAAACACAGAAAAATCAAGGCGCCGTGCATAAAGCTCAGTCAAATGTGAAAAACTGTCTTTTTCGCACAAGTTGGCTATATATATTAGGTCTATCTGTTATAAACATGTCATTTGTTTGTTTTTGTGTAGTTTGCCATTGTATTTAAGACTCCAGCTTATCACAATATTGCAATTGAAAGACCCGTGGAAGTATTGCTTGAGTTGCGGCGCAAGTCCGACAAGGAAACAAGTGAACCATTTACTTTTACCTACAGTCCTCAAATGTTTGGTGAGTGACCCTTGGGCTTAAAGATAAGAAATAGACCAATCCCGCATTTGCTTGGATGAACATAGAGCAGTGACTTCATTTCAAGGCTGGAGTTTTATCTTTTGTTGAAAACTTCAGCCTCAAAGTGAAGCCATTGTTTCGTGTTCGTCCTACTCGAATGCAGGACTGTTATTACTATCATTGTTAAGTCATGATTATGACTAGTTATATGATTTTTTGTTTCTATTGTTGTCAGATACCGAGCAAATTGGTGCAAAACGACGGAAAAAAGTCCCACACTTCTCAGATTACTATCCTCCAGGGGGTCCGCCAGGGGCAGCCGGTGGGGGAGGTGGTGGTTTTAATTTTGGCAGTGGTTTCCTGTTTGATTTTGGTTTCGGTGGCATACCTGGAGTTGGAGCTTCAACATCAACTTCGACACAGCAATCGCAAGGTGAGACTAATTGGACGTCGGGAAAGATAGCCATGAATTAAATATCAGTATTTTGCTCTTCACCTGTGTACAAAACAGTACATTTTAAAGTATAGTAAATGTTAGTATTCATGAAGACTTTCACAAAATCCTCAGTCCAAGGAACACAGAATCAAAGTGATGTGATGAAAGCCAGAATATGAAGAAGAAGGCTGTCAATTTTAGTGTGGTTGCTTAGTGTTGGTTAAAAAAAATGTTAAAAATTGTTTTTTTTTACATAAAGTTATTTTACTTAAAGTAGAATATGCACCACAACRACTTATTATTTTTTCATTAATTTTTGTATTATGTACCAAAGGTGCATAAATGTTGTATTCTCTAAGAGTACGTACAGATAATGTCCCTGTAAATTACAGATTATAGGCTCTTTGTCAGTGATTTTATTGCTCTGTGCCTGTTAAGCCTTTTCTGAGATAGCAGATTGCATTGTGGTCTAGGTTCAGCACAAACATCTTTTGTCCATGCTGCCAAATGTGGTGTTGTTTGTACTGTAGCTAGACCTCATTGCACTATGATTTTGAATTTCAGAAAAAGTCTAAAATGATAATAATGTTTGCGAACTATGAATACTGAGTGTGCTGGGAATAGGCCTTTTGCATGAAACGGTCACATGGTACAAAATCCGCCACACTGGATGGCAAAAGAATGTAAACAAACTCAAAAACAAAAGGAACGCAGCCTGTCAAGCTTGACTTTTCTTTGTTTTGCACATCCCAATGTGTATTTTGCCATCCAATATGGCGGATTTTGTGCCATGTGACCGTTTCATGCAAAAGGCCTATTCAAGTCTTGTCAAGCTTATTGGCTATTTTTAAAATTCAAGTCCAGGCCGGCATAATGTCTTTTCTCGATAGAAAACAATAGAATAAACACTCAATTTACACATAGATTCAAAACTATTCTTGCTTGTACTGGAAGAACAATCAATAGTAATAAAATCATTGATTCTTTAGGTTTTTTTTTGAACATTTTAATTATTGAATTCAATAAACAAATGTAGATATACAGGTAAATAGCATGAACTCTTTACTAAAGGGTTTTGTAAATAAAGCTTTAATAATTGAATCAAAAGTCCAGTCTTCTATTTCAATTATATCTCACAAAATGGGAGGAAAGTTATACAAACCTAAAATAAGTTTAGATTGTTCAAGATAAACTGGGATACAGCAATGTTTCAAGCTTGTTATAGATATCTACATGCATTATGATATTTATTCTTGATCAAGCCGCCATTATACTTCTACTCAGAGGCACAAACTACTTTTCAAGATGTATTTCAATCCTTTTAAGAAGTAAATAAAGCTTTAAAAAGGAATTATTTTCCAAGTAATAAATAAAATTGTCAGTCTTATTTTAAATCATTTCATTCATGCATCCTTTTTAAACCCCACRGAGGTTTGAAACAGCTGACTTGCATACTTGCAATTTYARTTGTGCAATTGTTCAAAGGACACTGTGTCTGCTTTGCATGCAAGACAATATGCGCATGTTGATAATAGATTTCTGAAACTTTAACATCGTATATACCATATAAMGCAATGATTGCAGGATATGTTTGTGACAAAAATGGCAGATTTCCTTTTTTTGCAATTCAAATAATGTAAAAGCTTCAGAAGTCTAAATTAGTCGTCTCGATGTTATCTGCACTTGAAAGTTACCATGCCTATACACAAATGCAAGTTAGGAGAGCATGCACTGATAGAAACATTTCATGCAGAGACAATAGACCAATGCTGCATTCGCCTGGATAAACACGGAACAATGGCTTAATTTCGAGGCTGGAGTTTTCGAAAAAAAAGATAAAACTCCAGCCTCGAAATGAAGCCATTGTTCCGTGTTCATCCTGGCGAATGCGGGATTGATCTATTGCTCGCAAGTTTTTATCATTGCAAGCTCACTATAGTCACCTTGCTTCAATGCACGGTTCCCTGCGCCATCTTGAAAGGTAGCCATACCTTTACATYGAAGCGAGACGACCGTTGAGCATGCAATGATAGAAACCTTTCACACCTACAGACAATTCTTCACAGGTATCTATCATTGCACACTCAACGGTCGTCTCGCTTYGRTGCAAAGGCGCGACTACCTTTCAAGATGGTGCAGGGAACCGTAAAGGAGACTATTGGCATGTCTCTGCAATCGCTGTGTTAAGTTGGTGCCAAACAGAGCTATACTTTTCAAAATGACTGTGGAACTGTAACGTATTCAATCTCTATTTAAACCATTAATTTTGTAAAGAGTTTAAAAAATGGTTCTGGCTAAGGCTGCAGTCAACTGAAAATATGTTTGMTAAAACCGTCTGACTTTAATMATCAAACTTTGATTCAACTTTTTGTTGAAAACTGATTATTACATAAAAACATTGTGTCTACTTCAACACCTTGGGACTTAATAAAACATGTTTTCTTTTTTGGCACAGGCAGCTCATCAGGTACCACACAGAATGCAATGTCTAGTACCCAACCCTCCCAGGAAATGCTGAAGGAGCTTGCCTGGGCAATAGCCAAACATACTTCTTCTGCGATGCAAGACTATGCTGCCACTGGAGATGTTCGCTA